TTTCATGGGGATTGGAACAGACCGGATTTTTCCGTTCCAGAGGCCCCCCCAGCCAAGCCAGGGCAAGTAGGGGGCTGATTTGATATGGCAACTGGAAGTAGTGGTCCGGCAACGCTGCCTGGCAAGTTTCAGCCAAATTGGCGCAGCTGCAGCTGCGCAGGGGATCAAAATGTGGTAGCTAGTTGCCTCCAGGCTTCATGGGGGCCCGAAGGCCTTGAAGTATTTAACCGGTTTTTGCTGCCATCGGCTCACTGAGTTGTTGGCAACATTTTCGGAGGATTTTCCAGCCTGAAGCCTGAAGATGGCGAAATTTGGAAGTTTTTCCAGGGTTTTTTGGTGGTGTGGCAGTTGGCTTTCTGGGGTGCCCCTGGCCATGCGGAGAAAAAAACAATAAAATGGCGATGATCTGCTCAGGGTGCGAAGCACGGCCGCCATCCAGAACATCCAGAGCCGGCGCATATTTCAATACGTTCCATTTTTAATCCAGAAAGTAGACATCCATTACGGGCTTGGGGAGTGCGCCTCCGGGCTGATTCATGTATTGTTTCCAGACAGCCAGTAAACCACTGGAAATTATGTCCCTCTGTATAATGTGCTCTGGATCCGGTGCGCCACTCACTTTCCTGAATTATACACTTTGCCAGATAAAAAATGTAAATCATGCCGCGCTGTTATGATCCAGAGCTGGGGCTGGAAGAAGGGCGAGGGGNGGGGGTTGGGTGACGTCACTGTACACGTTTGGTTGACAAAACCGCAACCAATTGGGCCTGATTCGATAAAACCGAAAAGTCTCCCGGCCATAAATCAGCCGCGTAATCGTTACAAATGCAGTCATACCGGGCCCGGCCATAAATTATCCGTTCGTTCTTCAAAATGGGAATTCGCGTTCATTTTCACAAAATTACCGTAAATCAGCGATATGGCGGGTGAGGGGAGGGCCGCCCCCCCATTTCCCTCCCCCTGCCATGACGTTGAGCTTCAAAATTGTACGGCGCGAAAAACTTTCGCCTAATTTATGGGCGATTCGAACAATAATTTTATTTTATTTGGCGCAGTCGGCAGGTCGCTCATTAGCGGCCGCCGTTCCGCAACTTTGCCAGCAACAGTCGTTTATAATAATAATATAATGCAGGAGCTGGGCAGCCTCTGGACAAGCCGGGGAAAGTTTCCAGGCGGCAAACTTGCCGCCCAATATATGCCTCAAGAGGTAGTAAATAAGGGGGGCAGGGACATCTAAATACGTGGCCATTGGGGAGTCTGGGGAGTCGGTAAACTGGACTTTGTCCGGCCAGGTTAAACAACGATATTTACGAAACGACGCGGACGTAAATCGGCCACCTTATGGGCCCGGCCGGACGGGGCATTAGCGAAGAATTCCAACAACGACGACGTGTTTCGATGCCATAACTTGCGGCCCCGGGTTTTGGGGCTTTGTGGCGCTGCCCCCCAACGGCCCGATTTATGGCCGCCCCTGGAATAAGTGACTCCGAACTGTTGAGGGGCTGAGTAATGGGCCGATGAATAAATTACGCGGCCGGCAAACGTCTGGAAATGTGCTTAAGTCGTCACCCGCTTGCCAGCATTTAACCGCCCGCGCCACTTTGATGTGGAAACCTGGATCTGTCCGGCCGGACACAAACGGAATTGTTGCCGCTCACTTAGTTTCCGCATTGTCAAGTGGCCGTTTGATTGGCCCGCACCTTTACAGCAGGCTTACGGTGCATTTACTTGACGTTCCAGCACGCGAAGCTCGATTTTTCATGGGTTTTTGCCAAAAAACCCCTGAAGATGGCACTGAAACTCCGAAATCTGGCCCCATTGTTTCAGAATCGAGTTTCCCAGTCAATTCTAGTGTGACTTGATGGGTCACACTTGGTACCTAGCGCGAAAACTACAG